GATCTTCTCGTTGGTTTTGGGGGATTGGCCTACTTCTAGAAACATCCTTCGTTTCCCATGGAGGCGGCAGATGTGTTACAAAAGTTGTTGTGTCAAGGTCCGTGGTGTTTTCTAATTTCTGCAAGATGGCTCTGCCATGGTCCCCGCGATATGGCCTTTTGAGCTGCCCCAGCACCATTTCGTTGGCGATTTCTCGGGTCTTGCTGATTTACGCTGACTTTTCCAGCTTGGCGATGACTCTCATGGCGCTTGTGTTGAGTGCGTTGAGGGTGTTGGGACGCAGCGTGGGCGAAGTAATCACATAAGCGACCCAAACTCAACTGTGTCTCTTATTTCCAAGCACCCGTTCCCGGGCAGCTCTCCCTCCTCGGCCACACTTCGTCGTTTCCCCTGCCTTCTCCGCTCCCCACATTCCTCAGTCAAAGCGGTCCGCGGGCGAGGGGACATATATCCGGTTGGCAGGCTAGGAAGTCGGAGGTAGCTGAGGCCGTACACCGCCTTGATTGATTGATTGAAACGTTTATTTAATTTCCATGCCTCTGGTCTGTGGAACCTCGCGGGGCATGGGGTAAGGGGAAGTAGAAGAGGGGTAGTGATGACAGGCACGTAGCCAGAAGTTTGTTTCGAGGGGGGGGGGGGGGGGGGGGGGGGGGCGCCCATGACAATATGCTGTATGAGAGGGAGGGGGAGAGGAGGTCCCAGCAAAATGGAAGATTTCGGGGGGGGGGGGGAGACCGGGCCCCATTAGCCCCCCCCCCCCCCCCCCTCTTTTGGCTACGTGCCTGAGTCGTGATGATGGATTAAACGAAGATGAGGATTCGTTCTGCGAGGGCTGAGGTTCTCGGTTACGTCCATTCCCCAGGGGTCATTAGTCTAAGATTCAGTGACGTCCCTGCACAGGACCATACAAGATGGTAGCAACTTCGGGACGCCACCGTGTGGACATCCAGGGACAGGACCTGTGTCATTCTCACCTGTTGGCTTGTAGAGCTTGGCACGCCAAAAGGGAATCACGATAGTCAGAGTCTGGAGCCTGTGCAGTGCCACTTGATCCCATCGTGGAAATCCGCGAGAGATCGGGTGGGGGCTAGAAGGTAGGAGCGCTGCAAGGCGCTGCGACGTTAGAAACTGAAACTGAAACTGAAACTAAAATAAATGGCTGACTGACGGGCCGACAGATGGAGCCAGAAGGTTATCTACTGTAAATCCCCTCGATGTGTTTACGTGTCTTGCAAGTAGCGCCAAATACGCGAGCGCACGAGGCCCATGTCTCGAGCGGCCCTGGGAAGCAAATGGCGGTGCAGCACTGAAATGAGCGGCCCTTGGCGGCGGAGCACGCGCTCGCGGCACGTGTCTCGTGCGTTTCCACAACAATGGTTGGCGGGTACTTGTAAAAAAGGCCTTTATCAAGGGGCTTTAATCTACTGTAAAGCCCCTCAATATGTTTGCGTTTGTCGTGCAAGTAGCGTCAAATGCGCGAGTGCACGAGACTCGCGTCTTGAGCTGCCCTTGGAAGCGAATGGCGGCGCAGCACTGAAATGAGCGGCCCTAGGAAGCGAATGGCGGCGCAGCACCCGCTCGTGGCACGTGTCTCGCGCGGTTCCACAACAATGGTTGGCGGTACTTGTAAAAAACGTCTTTATCAAGGGGCTTTAATCTACTGGATAAATTTTGTTTAGCACTGGCACTGGATAAATTTTATTTAGCACTAAAGCACTGGATAAATAATTGGGTTGTGCGTATGTTTATACAGCCTAGAACTTGGTCTGCCTCACAGGGGCGACGAGTCTCCCAGCTGTAGATGAGAAATTTAGCCAGTGCGGTACAACCGCTAGCCTGGGGTCTTTAACGTGCATCACGCAGTAGTGGTACACGACCGCACACCGGTACGATGCTCATCCAAATCGAAACGGGCAGGGGTGGGGCTCAAACCCAGGATCCCTGGGTTCTGCAGCGCGAGCTTTCGCTCCACGTGCTCCGAGCTGGTGTGCGCTAGACCACTCGGCCACCGATCCGCCAGCACTGGATAAATGTTTTATGTCCAGCGCTTTACTCTAATGGGCTACGGGAGCCAGAGTTGCGCGTCTGTTTTCCACGTGCCGCCGCGCTGCTATTCCCCGAGATCCGATCACGTGAGAAGCCGGATCAAGTGCCGTGCAGGAAAGTAGACGTTGCACGCACCCCGCCGTACGTTCCCCTGCTTTCGAGCGCGCCGCGCGCCTCGAACGCGCGGCGCCGCTATTCGCCGAATTCAGTCACGTGACGAGCGGGATCAATATGCCGTGCAGGAAAGACGGCGCTACGGAGATGAAAGCGCAAATCTGGCAGGCAGTTACAAGGCTTCAGTCTTACAACTTTGTTTACCCTTGCCCATGTCTTCTTTGGGTCATCCTGTATCTTTTTAAACTTGCGATACATCATCAGCAGCAGTCATTGACAAGGTGGGAGCCATATTTGTGAGGTACGGAATCCCGCTATTCTTTTTATAGAAGTATGCACGGACAAAGGACTTCAATGTTTAAGTCGGGAGTTCGGTCTCTTCGCGAAGAAGTACGACTTCAGACATGTAACATCGAGCCCGGAGTACCCCAGTCAATCGGACCCGCGGAAAAGGGAGTGCAGAAAGTGAAGCGCATTTTAAAGAAAACCAAGGAAGCGCACGAAGACTTTTGGCTCGGTCTGCACGGCTACAGGTCAACTCCTTTAGAAGACGGACGGTCACCAGGAGAACTACCGCAAGGAAGACGGCTAAGATCCACTCTTCCCGACTTCAGTAGTCAGCCGGAATTAAAGGTGCAAAAGCACGCACAGACCGATCATCCGAGAGGCACGCTTCAGCCACTCGAACATGGTCAAGTCATACGGGTCAAGAAGAAGTTTTGGTCCAAGAAAGCGAAGGTTATTGTAAACCGCTGGTAGGGACACACCCAAACGCGGTGAATGCTGAGAGACGAAGACGTTTATTCGCGCGCTTTGGGTTGCGACTACAGAGGGCTGCCGGCGCTGCTTGTGCCAGTGATGCGTATAATGATGCCGCTGGCCACATCTCCCTTTCTTTAATAAAAGAAAACAAATCTGGAGCTAACGCTTTGCTCAGTCACACTCTATGTAGCGACGTGGCTGGCGGGGCTGCCTTGGGCTTCTCCGTAGTGCCACGGGTTGGGGTCCCGAAGGCTGTGGCATCGTCGTTGTGGGGCTGTGGGAGCGGATATGCTCTTTGTTGTGACGAAGCTGTTGTCCATCTTCGTTTGCCACTATGCACGATCTGGGTGCAGGCCGGGTCGTCTGTGACTACGACTGCTGGCGACCACTGAGAGGTCCGACTGTCGAACACTGAGACCGTCGACCAAGGGTGCAGATGCTCCAGACTTCTTGTACCTTAATTGTAGTAGGTCTGTTGGCGCTGGCGTATCTCCTTAAGCCTTGCAGTCACCTGCTGGGGTGGCACTATCTCAGGCTCTAAAAGCTTGCGGTGCGTAGGCAGCAGTGTCCTTGTCCTTCTTCTCATCAGACGCTGGACTGGGGACTGCAAGAGCCTGTCTCTTGGCATGTGCCTCCATTCCAACATGGCGCTGTGGAATCCTGCCGTGTCGTATCGAGTCTTGCTCAGAAGCTTCTTTGCCTCTTGTACGGCTCGCTTGGCCATTCCGTTTGAACGGAAGGTCCGCGACATCAAGTGTGGACTTGATGTCGCGTGGATGATGTCACAGCGCTCCATGAATTCGGCAAACTTGTGGCTGTTAAACGGTGGCCCAGTGTCACTTATCAGCTTGTGGGGAAGACCAAGCGTAACAAAGACCTCTTGGCAGAACTTTATGACAGCATCTGCCGTTGTGTGTTTCAAGCGTCGAAGTTCGAAATAAAACGAATAAAAGTCCACGATGATCACATACTCTCCTCCTGCTTGGTGGAAAAGGTCCATGCCAACTGTCTGCCAGGGCAGTTCCGGGACATCATGGCTCATCATCGGCAACCGTTGGTTCCTGGGCTTCTGTTGTCTGCAGAGCGCACATCTTTCCGCTTTCTCTTGGATGTCTGCTGACATTCCAGGCCAAAACATGACGTCTCTGGCACGTTGTTTCATCTTCTCTGTACCCCCATGGGCTGCATGCAGGAGGTCTAGGATTTCGTTCCTCGTGGTGCTGGGAATGATCAGCCTGTTTGATCGGAAGATGAGGTCGTCTTCCGAATGGATCTCATCACGGTACGGCCAGTAGGCCTGGATTAGTTCGGGGACCGCATTTTTGTCTTCTGGCCACTTCGTGCTTGCATACTTCCTCAGGGTACGGAGATTCTCATATTGGTTCGTTGCCCGCTTGATCTGCTGTAGTCTTTCTGCAAAGACTGTCAGCTCTTGGATGACGTTCACTTGAAAGTTTTCTTCCTCTGGCACCTTCTTTTTCGATGGCAACCGAGACAGGGCGTCTGCAATGAACATTTCGTTTCCCGGCTTGTACTTTATCTCAAGTGAGTACTTCTGGAGAGTCAGGCACATTCTTTGCAGACGTAGCGGACACTCGTGAAGTGGTTTCCTGAAGACCGCCCCGATACGGCGGTGGTCACTTTCCACCAGGATGTACAGCTGAGCGAAGACGTAGTAGTGAAAGTGGGTGCAGCCATGCACAATGGCTAGCATCTCCTTTTCAATTTGTGCATATCTCTCTTGCACTTCAGTCAGTGAGCGAGAAGAGTAGGCCAGGGGGTGTCCATTCTGCAGGATGACAGCTCCTACTCCTCTTTGGCTAGCATCTACCTGCAACACAGGGGGCTGCGTCTTGTCGTAGTATGCCAGGACCGGTGCCTGTGATAGGGCTGTCCGAAGACGCTCAAAGCTTTCTTGTTGAAAGTCGGTCCAGACCCGAGAGTCCTTCTTGGGTCTGGACCTTCTTCAGCAGGTCTCGTAGAGGTGCGCTTAACTCCGACATGTTCGGGATAAACCTGGCAACGAAGTTCACCATTCCCAGGAATGTCTTCTGTTCCTTTGCGTTCTCTGGGACCTGAACTGCAAAGATGTCCTCTGCTTTGTTCGAGTCGATCGAGAGTCCTTCTCGGTTAGCACGAAGCCGAAGTAGCGCACTCCGCTTTGAAGAAGTGGCACTTGGCCAGGTTCAGCTTGAGGTTCACCTCTTGGCACCGTTCCGAGGCTTTTTGTAGACGTCTGTCGTGCTTTTCTTTTGTGGAACCCCACACCAGTATGTCGTCCATGACCACCTCGACGCCGTCAAGACTCTGGAGCACCTGGTGCACTGCTCTCTGGAAGACTTCTGGGGCAGTGATGATTCCGAACGGCCTCCGGAGAAATCTATATCTTCCGTACGGCGTGCTCATGGTGCACAAATACGATCTGGGCTTGTCAAGTCGAATCTGCCAAAATCCTGTGGCAGCGTCCAATGTAGAAAAGTACTTGGCACCCTCGATGTTTGTGACGATGTCCTCCAGCGTCGGCATGTGGTAGTGCTCTCTCTTGAACGCTTTTTTGAGGTCAACTGGGTCCAAGCATATTTTTATATTGTCTTTTTTGACCTCAACTACCATCTGGCTGGCCCATTCAGTCGGTTCGGTGATGGGGGTTATCACTTCAATTGCTTCCATTCGGTCGAGTTTAGCCTCGACCTTGTCACGGAGGGCCAGTGCGACGCTGCAGGCTGGCTTAACTACACATTGCGATCCTTGGTGCAGTTCCATGTGATACACCACCCCACGCAAGTCACCTAGGCCCTTGAAAGTCTCTTCGAACGGTCGTGCCGCTTCGTAGAGTTGGCCCTCTTCTGGGTGATTCCACGTCAGTTCATGCAATGGTGGTCCGGGCCATAATTTTGATATTTTTGTTAAAAATATATATAAAAGCCATGTTATTGGGAGGAACATTCCGCTATATAAAAACGCCGTAACGTTTTTTTTTTGTTTTTTTTCGCTGAGATATAAAATAGAGAAGCTCGAGGCGTGGAAATTGAGAAGATTTCACTATGCTACTTTGCGCAGTCGTCATTTTCTTATCGAAGCTTTCACTTTACCATAACTTGTTTAATAAATTTCACGAGAGATATGGAACACATCCCCAAAAAAGTAAAAATATCAATAACATATTTCTATGCAAACGAAAAAGTCAAACATGGCGTAAAAACACGTTTTAGAGACATATTCACAATTTTTTTGCAAATAAACTATCTGCTATAATACTTCACAAAACATATCAAAATGCGCTCCTTTGAATTGTCTTTACGAATGTATAATGATAATGAATTATCTTTACGAATGTATAAAGACCCTTAATTGTCTTCTTGTTATTAACGCGAAAATGCGGCTGATTTAAAAAAAAATGTGTCAAAATTGGGCGTCGATATTTAAAACACTCCATCTTTTATTTTTTTTAAACTCCCCTTGGCAGTTTGCAGTGACATGAACTAACCTGTGATGGCAAAACATTGAGTAACATATGACCTCCGAACGGGAAAAGCTGCGTCAAACCTTCGCTCGGAGCTAGCCGACGTGATGAAGGGGACGTTATGCTTTGCCGCATAACGTCCCCTTCATGGAAGCGTCAAAAGCTGGAAAGCGGGACTCTGTCGTAAAGAGCGGAAAGTCGCGCTGTTCCAAGCATTGCTTTATCGTTGTGTGACTATACCCCCCCCCCCCCTTTCCCCGCTCTGCCCTCTTCTTCTGCTTGCGGTAGTTAGTAATCGTAAGCACATCACATTGCCTTGAAACCCAAAGCTGTGAAGAGTCATTTACGGCAAAATAAGGCGAGAGTAGTTGTAAGGGAAAATATGTATGTCAGTTGGTCAGGAAACATTTCAATCTAAACCCAGAGACGAGGAAAAACAAAAATAACGGACAGTGCGAAACGAACTCTCAAACGCAGCTGAACTTATTCACAAGAAGAACGACAATAAATGCATGTCCACGCGGAAAGAAATAAAATAGGGAAGATCAAGACATGCGACCGCAAAGACTTGACCGAACCTAACCAGACAAACTAAATCACTCCAAGGTTAAGGACAGCAACGGGAACGGGCACCTCTCCCAAGGACCTGAACAGATGGTTTGCACCACGCTATGCGAACCGACCGAGACCGAACCCCTAACCCCCTCTTCTATTTTACTGCCGTAACCCCCTTCCCCAACACACACACACACACACACAAACTACACTCCAACCACCGAAAACCCCAAAAACATTACAATATAAAAAACTTTTAGAAGGTAAAAAAAAAGAAAAAAATACGGCTGACTATCGCTATGCTTGCAGGAGACTCGGTGTCTTTGGTGCTCAATAAGTGGTACTACAAACAAACAACACCAGCTTAACCATGCGCGACGCACCGATTATATCTACAATGGAAGACAGAAGTTGATAACCACAAGGACATTTTCTTTCCGAACTCTGACCGGATATTCGGAGCCGGGAGAGAGGAATTCAGAACCTCTCAAATAGGCGTTTGCGAGGACGTTTGAAGTTCTGTCATTTACGAAGCGAGTAAGTCTAGTGTCAAATCGAACAGCCACGACCCAACGATTCAGCACCATGCGATTGTTCTGTGTGGACTATCTACGGAGACACGAGAAGAAAGTGTATAGCGATAAGCACCTCGTATCGGTAGGGAGACTCAACAAAGTGCGGTTGGAAAAGCTACTGGCTCCACGGACAGTGAACGAATCTGACCTTTTATGCCAAGATTGCTACACATACCTCCAGAATGAGATTGCTTCTCCTCACAACGTGAGTACATTAGACTCTTCTTTTCGGGACTCTGATGAAGTTCTGGCTGAAGTGAGTCAAGAATTGTGTGCTGCTAGTCCGTCGGTAACTCCATTGAAACCACGTAAAACCATTAAAAAAAAAAGGCGCGAAGCATATTTGAAGAAAAAACAAGCTGAAGTGAGTTCTTCGATTGGAAGAAAGCTGTCAGGCGTTTATGGCATGAAAACCGGCGAAGACAGTGGTGAGCACTGCGCGGAGTGGTTTGACGCGTTCCGCGAAGGCGCTGAAGGCATGCAGTTCCCACCAGGAACGCAAGAGTTTGTACACGCTTCTGCCACCAAGCATCTCGAAAAAAGAAATATTGCGTCTGGTGCCAGAAGTGACTGCCTCCATGATTGATCAAACAAGAAAACTGAAGCGTAAAGGTGGTGTATGGGCAACCCCTGATCCCTACATGGGGAAAAAGGCGAATACCGAAGACGTGAGAGTTGCACTTGAGTACTACACACGCGACGACCTCGCATGCTCTATTCAAAGCCCCAACAAAAAGGACGTCGTCAAAGCCATGATCAACGACAAGACCAAAGTCGTAAAAAGGTTTATGACCCTCTCTATTAAGGAAGCTTACCAGCTGTTTAGGAAGGACCATCCCCATCGAGAACTAGGCATCTCTAAGTTCTATTCGCTACGACCAAAATGGGTAAAAAAGAGTCCCTAGGATGAGGTGTGCGCTTGCATATATTGCGTCAATTTTCAGTTGCTTTTAACGGCAATAACAAATGCCTCACAGGAGACATTTACTGAAGACGACTTCAAGCGCAATTACCTCTGCAGCGCTCCACAAAACGATTGCTTCCTGCGCCGTTGCGAAAAGTGCCCAAAAATGCAGAGCATCTCGCTGCAGTCGCTCCATCTCGACGAAGACGAAGAGATCTGTTACGCGTTATGGGACGCCGGCGAACTCGACAAAAAGGTTATGGACACTTCCGCTTTCCTAAAGGAACTGGAGTCATGGAGCGAAAAGTATATGAGGCGTTCTTACATCCGTGACCTTCAACAAAGCCTGATACGTGACACAAGAACCGCCTTACCACCGAAGGCAGTGATGTTCCACTTCGATTTTGCGGAAAATTGGACAGTCATCTTCCCAACCGAAGTGCAGAGTTTTCATTGGCAAAAAACTCAAGTGTCTCTCTTCACATGTGTGGTTAAGTCCACGCAGGGCACGGAAAGCTTGGCCGTTGTCAGCGATGACACGACACATGACACAGCTCACGCTCTCCTAGCGACAAAAGCCATAGAAGAATATGTTGATGAACATTGCCCGCTCTTTTCTGAAATGATTTTTGTATCAGACGGAGCGGCGGCGCATTTCAAGAATCGCTTCCAATTGCACGAATTATCTCGGAAGCCGTACTCTTTGGCAAGATGGATCTTTTCAGCCACTGGACACGGAAAAAGCGCTTGTGATGGAGTAGGTGGTGTTCTTAAACACCACGCAACGCTCACCAACTTGAGATCTTCGCTCAACTCAACGATTGTCACCGCTAAAGACTTTGTGGAAGTGCTACGTGAAAAAGTAACAAATGTCTGCATGTTCCACCTGTCTGCGGAACGGGTTCGAGAGTTTCGTGCGGTGAAGCAAGTAGAGTGGGCCACCGTAAAACCTGTGAGAGGAATCCAGGCATCTCATCTGTGGAAGTCATCATATGCCGAGATGCCGGATGTATACAAGGCCACTTGCGCAACTGAGAGTTTTAAGCTTAGGTATGCATATATAGTTAGCGATTTTG